CTGCTGAGACTGAATAGTGTCTGATAGTTAAGTACTTCTCTACTGCTCTCAGGATTAGAATAACTGAACACTGTTATCTCTGGCACAAACAGTGTATTTTAGTACACTGTTCTGCTTCTGTCACTTCAAGAAAAATACTTTAAAATGAGGGATTGTGATTTCTCTAATTGAAAGACTTGCAACTGTGGAGTATCGTGCCAGTGCCTGGTGTGAGTCCCAGGATCCTTTGCAGATGTATGTCTTATGGTTGCACAAGTTTGGCTTTCTCAAAGAACAATTTGCTAAGTGAGAATTTAGCATTCAGTCATAGAATCAACTAGGTTGAAAAAGACCTTTAATATCAAGTCCAACTGTTACCTCAGCACTGCCAAGTTCACCACTAAACCATGTCACTAAGGGTTTCATCTGTGAGGTTTTTTGAACACTTCCAGGGATGGCAATTCCAACACTTCTCTAGGAAGCCTGTTCCAACATCTGACCCACCCTTTTGGTGAGGAATTTTTTCCTAGTATCCAGTCTAAACCTCCACTGGCACAGCTTGAGGCCATTACCACTTGTCCTATCACTTCAAGTGACTTGAGTAGTCCTCTGTGTTTTTCCAGGGCATTCTAGGTGGTTTTCTTTGGGAATGCTGAACTCAATATTATGGTTGATTGTTAGCTTTCTTCAAGGATTAAAAGAAGGTATTGCTAAGTAGATGGGAAATATGGTCTTTGCCTCAGATTCAGTTCTTGGGGGGCTAGGGGGATGGAGGGGAGGAGGTTGTGGAACCCTGAAGAGACTGTGAAGGTTGAAGCATGGCAGCTAGAATTCAGGGCAGGCACGTTTCGTGAACAGGGGCTGGCAGTTACTCTTGGCACAAGGTGAAGGGTGTCTTTGTATTTTTGTTTCTCTTTCATGTGGAAGCTGTAGTAACAGGTATGCCATTGGAAAGTCAGTCTTATAAAAGGAGGTGGAGATTCTTCACTTGCTAATGGCAATCCAGCAGGGTGGATATTTCTGGAGCTATGGGGTTTTTCCAGGTGTAATCTGACATCTGCATTGAAAGACACCTTTATGTGGATTCAGAATGGAAGTTAAAGTTGTTGGAAGCAAAGGATTTCAACAGAGGATGGTTGTGCAGGATGTAAAATACACAGAGTAGTAGGTGTACCTAGAGAGCAGATCCTTCAATGGCTAATTCAGTGAGTAGTTTGACTGTGTCCCAGAGGTGAGGAATAGCAGGTACTATTTAAAACCTTGCTTGAGAAGTAGATTACAAACTCTGCTTTTCTGCTTTTATTCTCATAGCTCGTTTTGCTTGTATGTTGGGATGGTGATCTAACTGTAGAGTTTTAATTACCTGGGTAAACTGGGGGGGGCAACTGTATTCAAACAGTCTGTGTCTGTTTTGCTGTAGCAGACTGGCTTGACAGTGTGATGGATTGAAGGCATGTGTAGGATTTGCTGAAAATGCTTGAATTTCATCTATCCTGTCCTTGGTTTGCTAGATGTCAGTCAAGCATTACAGGAGCAAATCTTTATTGATACAGTGATTTTTCTGGCTTGCTTCATAGGGAATAGAGTGGTTGTGTAGGTAAGCAATCAATTTTCTACTGCTTTTGTCCCCAGGACCTTTTCCTCAGAGGTTCTCTCAGAACTACTAAAGACTGGTGACCTGCCTACACAAGGGCTTCCCTTGTCAGCGCTGCTGTTGTAGCTTCAGCGGGCAACAGGTTATTCTAGCTAACTGCATCTCAGCAAAAACCACAATTCCCCAGGGATGTGCAAGTCCTGATTAAACTTTCAGGAAAAGCTTCAGGAGAGGTGCCAGCATAGACTTCATGCTCCAAGAGACAGATCAGTTACCTGGCCCTTCTGGAGAAATCATTTCCCTATCTTAAGATGCTTATGGAGGACTTGGGTTTGGATGCTGCTTCTGAAAGCTTGGTTCAGCAAAGGCCTTAAAGATGGTGTTTTCCTGTAAAACTTAAAAAAATATATTGGCAAATAAAGGCTCAGGACCTTTTCAGAAAGGAAAAGCTTGCGTGTTAGACGCCATTTTGCATGGAAAGGCATGATTAGTACTGCTTTTCACTAAGCACTTGTCTATTTTATTAAATCAAACCCTTGTGATGGAGTTGTGTTCTGTCCCGGTGTAGACTAGAAACCTCTGAACTGTTTTAACCCAGCCATAGTGCCATGGGTTATTGCATTTCAAAGAAATACTGGTGATTGTTCAGGTGCTTTCAGTTTTTTGCTGAAGTAGTTGTCACAACATGAACAAAAGTTGATTTGCTTATTTCATGATTTGCTCTAAGGTATGCTTTTTGGGACTTTATTCTAGAATAGTACAGGTTTTGTTTCCTACCAGTGCTGTGGAAGGATTTGAGTTCTTTAGCCTTTCCCAGTCTACCCTGTATCATGACTTAGTGAATTACTGGATGCCGGTAAGGAATCCATTGTCTTTTATTCTGGTAACATTAAAATTAATTGAAGGAGCATCTACTCTCCTTTCTCCTTATTGGAAGATGATGTGCTGAGATTGCTGTAAAGTTGTGTATTGCTGGGGACACAGGCACAGACTCTTCTCTGTTAATTTTATATACCACATCTGTGTTTTCCAGGGAACTGGTAGGATTAAATATGCATAGCCTTTTGTTTTTAGTGCTTGGGAGACTTCAAGAATCTTGATTTGTTTCTGTTTTTCTCCAAAGGCCGCCTTCCATTAGACCAGGTTGCTCAAAGCCATGTCCAACCTCACCTTGAACACTTCCAGGGATGTCCTTGGAGATTATATTCTATTTTATGTTTACATAATATAAATACTAATTATTATCATCCTTAGATATTATAATTTCACTTATGTTAATGTGGTCTGAGCTCTGTCTGGTTATAAACTGTGTTTAAAGCATAGAAAAGCCATCACGCTTTGCTTACGGATTTATCCTGCTTTTTATTTAACCACCTTGTTGCCAGTTGCAGTTCTATGAGTTGCTCGTGGATTAGACTGAGTATTGAGTCTTAGTCTACAAACAGGGTTGCTTAAGATCGTTGTATTTGAACAGCAAAGGAAAAAGGGGTACTTTGCTCTGCTAGAGTTGTATTTCCAGGTTGAGGATAAACAACTCCAGTTTTTGTTGTCACAAATCCTGTAGCATTGGAATGCAGAAGAGTCATTGGTGGAAGAAGGAAATAAAACAGCCTGTCACCTGCTGGAGATAGAAAATAAATCTGCTGAGCTGAAACAGAGGCTGTTCTGAGTCCTATGGTGATGATGGTAAAACACATTTCCTATCACTTTATGTAAATCTTTCTTGAGGGAGCAGAGGTGGAATTTAGTGCTACAGGAGGTACGGTATGCCCTTCCCTATCTTTCTTGTATGCGTATTTTTTGGGAGAGGGTACAATAATTCACAGAGTGATTTGTTCTGGTGTTCTTGGACTGGGAAAACTTACTGTGGTTCTAAGTTTGGGGTTTGAGATGGAGGGGTGGAGATCTGATTACAGCAGGGAAAAGCACAGAATATTCTTAGGAGACCAATAATTTCTTTGGTTTTGCTTTGCAATCCTCCATGCTGAACTATAACAAATGTTTCATTGAGGGTGAGCCTTGCAGCCATCTTTGTAGCTTTAGCACCCCTCTCATTTTCCTAAACCCATGTTTTCTTTTCCCTTGTACAGGGCTTACGCAGAAGACTCGTCCTCTGTAAAACACGATCCGAGGACAGAGCCAAGCGAGAAAGTGAAGCACGAGGAGGAGGAGGAGAGCAGCGGCAGTGAGGATAGAAAGGCTGTTGCATCGGGTGATGAGGAAGCTCAGCCAGAAGGGAAGAAGAAGAAGCGTTCTGGCTTCAGGGACCGTAAGGTGCCAAACTTGGGCGTATTTCACCTGCATCTCTTGCACTGCAGTAGAAAAAGGGAGAGAAGTTGCAGAACATATTAGTCGGGTTGTGATATGTTGTGGTATGTAAAGAGTCTGGCTTTAGCTCTGTACTTGTCTTTATTTTCTAAGAGATCTTAGTGTTTTGGGAACCTACTTTCTTGGTGTGCTACCTTGACTTTCTTTAGGTTTTATTTGGAAAGCACACTGATTCTCTGAAATGGAGGCCTCTTTTCCCATCTCCAGTTGGATGTCTGAGAAGTCGCTTGTTAAGAAATCAAGGCTCCTGCTTTGATGGCTGTTAGGATGGTGTATGCAAAGTAGGAAATCAGTGCAAAAGAATCCAGCATGTGTGTCTCTGAGTCCATCTG